GGGGGGAAGAGATCATCCTGAGAAAAATACAAAACTAGACTCTGTTATCACATCTGCTGTTTGACCGGGTATGTGAATCAGTAAAGAAGAGAGAAAACATTTCTCAGTATGAATGATCCAGGAAAACTGTAAGGGGAACTGCTTCCAAAGCAAGTGTGCCCTAGGAGCTGCAGTGGAAAAATAAATAGATATGGATTAGTATGTCAAATGTTGTATCTGCCTTGAACTGGCCAGTTACTTACATTCAACAGTAATGTACACCCTTCATTACTTAAAATAGCCTACAGCGTGGAGGTTTTAACGGAAGAAGCTACTGCCAACCTTACTGAGCTGTAGTTGCAGTAGAAAGGGAACGCGAGAAACAGGCATCATATCTGCAATTCCTTCAAAATAGTGGTGCAGTACCTAAATAAAATCATTTTGGAATTCAAGTAAGTCAAACTACAGTCGCTAGTAGCAATTTTTAACAGCCCCAAATGGTACCGTTATGCTTGTTTTAATGAGACAGAAGTGTACTTTAGCACAAGTACGGATTAGTAAGACTGAAATGTTTGGTAACAACTGAAAATATATGCTCTGTTTGCGGGGTGAAATCATCTCTGCCCTACCTCAGTTTCACCGAATTCAACAGGATTACTTGTCTCACGGAGGTAAGTGAGATTTAGACCTTGAAGGATTAACAAAAATAATATTTTGGAGACAGGGAATTTGAATTATCACAATATTTACCACACAGTGTCACAATATTTCTATATATAAAAAGTTAATCTTAGATTTCATCAAATACTTTAAAAATCAAGTTAAAATCGTATTCACAACTATATAATCCCTCTGACAGCTTTTGGTTTTGCTGATATTTGTTCTTTCTAACATCTTTTTCTTAAAATCTTGCCCCTCTTCCCACCAGTTTTAGTTGTAGTGTACACAGTACGGCCCCCGTTCACAGAAGATATCGAATACAGACACATTTTTAAGAGGAGCTGATTTTTTTCTACCAAGACATCGACTGGGAGAAAAACAAAACAAAGCAACCCTGTGTTTTGAGCAGCGCTGGCCTGTTTTTCCAACAGCACCTTCATCCACAATGCTCACACTTAACAATGCTTAAAAACACACCACCACGTTTACTCTAGCTATTGTCCTCCATTTTCATCTCCTTTTATGCATCTGACCTTCAGCATGCACAGTTTTGTAAACAAAGTCTTCCACCTAAACAAAAAAATCCTCACAGACACTGAAATATTATTAGAGGAGAACAATAAAGTCACATTTGTCCACCTTCTGAAATTCTGCAGTGCGTGGATCTCATTATGCAGATACACGGCTGGATGAAGAGAATATAAATGTGAACGATTTTTGTTTTTCCATCATAGGCCAATCAGCAGCTGGTTTGTAGTGCTGTCAGAAATGGCAAACAGTACATTATTCTCCAGCAGGTTGATCGTTAGCAAGATTACCTTGCTATAAATGGTGCTCTTTTGTGAATGGAGGCCTGCATTTTCAACTTATTCCAATAAACCAAAGGCATTACGGTGATAACTAAATATTTTTGGTCTCTCTACAAATTGTCATTATTATGGCAGCACTTTTCTAAGCTGGAATTTCAAACCAAAGGCACTTTCATGCTAGAGTGCAGAAGAGTCACAATTAATTATTTGGTCATGAAATTTTAAAAGGCAGCATTATTAATACAATCCACTTTTCACGGAGAACTATGAATCTGTAACCTTTCCTTTTGGTATAGACATTTAATCATGTAGCGATGGGACTGACTTGTACTGAGGGTTGGTTTAGACCAAGCAGTCAAGGAGCTTTTTCTGCGGGGAAAAATACAGTTTATTTAAAAATGGAACCAATCAATAAAACAACGTATCAAATTTATGTTAAGAGGCTAAAGGTATTTCTAATACAACGCTAAGGCACTGCATATTGTAATGCTTTGGCAGCTCTCAATTAAAAGATTCCTACAAAAAGTAACAGTAACAAGATAAATACTTCCAGCTTACAAAAGAGCTCACAGTTTACAGGCAGCCTGTTGGACTACACACCACACACTGAACAGTTGAAGGATTAAGGCTTTTAAGAATTAACATATACAGGGTATGGATCATTTACAGAAGTGTAAAGAAAAGATGAAGGAAGTAGTTTCCCTAATATTACATATGTGAACACCAATAAACATTGTGACTTTGTATACCCTATAGTTACGACATATGTAGTGTGCCAGATTCTATTAAAAAAACTGTACCTGGTTTTGCAAATTGCCTTCATACTTGATACGCCTCAAAGAGTTCGCTTGTTATTAAAACAAAAAATCACCAAAACCACAATTCAAACCCTAAATAAAAGACAACTTTAGAACAAAATAAAACAAAACAACGAAAAAAAAAAAGTAGTTTTTGACTTGTAACACCAAGTGCTTAGAATAAAGGGCTACCGTTAGGCTGTTACAATGCAGTGCTTTTCCTGATGTGATTGTTAGTGTTAAAAACGAGTGTTAGAGACCCTACCATGGACATATTTCACTGTTCTGTTCACAGAATATAAACTGAAAGATCATCAGCCCTAATATCCACAGCTAGACATCACAGCAATCATCCACCTACCAGAGCTAGATCAGCGGCAGGCTGAGGGATTGAGCAGTCTCCCTTCCTTTCAAATGTTTGTATCGTGAGTCCACAACTACCCACTGCTACGTCTGGGCAATATTCTGGTCTAGATAAATTCAACTGTTGGCAATTCTGAACAAAGTACAATACAATTTTTAGAAAATCCAGAAATTGAGACTTTTTTCAAAGACTATGGCACTGTTGCCAAGGAGTAAATTCTAGACATAAATCACGCATAGGCATGTAAAGGGCAGTGAGGAGGGAGCTGTTAAATGTTAACTTCTTTGATTCAGAGCTGCAAAAGACCTTCCCAAGAACGCTCTTTGCTGATACCTCACGACTGACCTTTAAGGTGACTTGTGCTTGGCCAAGCAGTCCTGAGCCTTTCAGACAAATGTTTTAGACAAGGACCCACTGCTGGCCCAGCACCTGCTGAAACAACTGCTGCCTGGGCAGCTGAAGGACAGTGCTGGGTGTGCAGAAGAAAAGCAACTGAGGAACACTCTGGCTTAGGTAGGAAGAATGAGAATGCTAATCTCACATGTGCGTACCTCAGATCATCATTCACGCCCACATCCTTGTTCTGAATCTGCACAGTATTAAAATATCTCCAGCTGCACTTCACTTCCTGGAGTCTTCCCTGATATAGCAGAAGGGTGAATACTACCACATCCAGATGCAAAAAGGACATCAGAACCCATGTGGCACGTACGCGTTTGTTTCCCGTAAGATCTTTGCCAGTAGGAACTGGAGAGAGAACTGGAGAGAGGTGTTAGAGCACCGTGCTAAAAAGGAAGAGAAGAAAAAAAATCTCCGTTTTCCAAGCTTCCTTGCCTGATATTGCTTGTGACTTTCTAGCATCTCACAGATATTAAAGCTATTGATCCTTTCAGAAGTGTATGCATTCTTTTCTCAAACACTTCAGTGTTTTGCTTTCAGTTTACGAATTACTCAATGCTGTAGCAATGTCAGTTGTTTCCATATATCTGTTAATTTCAGAGTTGCAAGTTTTTCACTCAACTAGAAAACATAGTTGTCCATATAAAATATAACTGCATACACAAGACTACATATAATGTGAGTCTAAATCTTCAGTATTTACCTACTTATTGCAAAACGAGCCATCTTCTTTTCATTAAATAATCACTTTTTCATATTAGTACAATACAACTTTATAATCTTTTAAAATACACTAGATATGTTAAGGGTAAGGGATGATGTTTTTCTTTCTCTGCAATAGCTGTTTGAAAGTTTAATGGATTAGAAGATTAGTTTTAGCATTGAGAAAAAAATACAAAATTTGCCTAATTTTAGGACCTGTCTGTTTCTTAACAGGTATGTCTTAAGGCTATATTTTTTCATTTGGTTTCAAACAGAAAAATGTTTCGCTTTAAAAAATAATTTAGTGAATTATATTTGTCCATATCTTCCACCCTAATTAGTTACAAAGATAATTCTATAAAGGTAATTAACTTTTCTTATTCATTTACAGTTATAGCTAAAGATTCATTTCAATTTCACTTGCATTGTAAAACATGTATTTTGTGTTGGAAAAAAAACCAAAATATCTTATAAACGCTGTCAGTTTTTCCCCATGGCAAATGCTCTGTCATACATTTTTCTATCAGAATTAAAAATAGGCCTCCACAGACAGAGGCATTAGGTTCTTAAATACAGTCTTCCCAAAGAACGGTGGTTTACAAATTTGAAGAACACTTAGTTTTAGAAATAATTTTTACAACTGTACCAGAATTTCACAGCTACAATTATATATGAACACATTAAAAATGACTCACTAAAACAGGATTTAGAAAAATGTGGGTGAAAGTTGGGCCAGAGGCACTGCCACTTAGTGTTGAGGTTTACAGTCTGTGTTTTGATAAAGAAGTGAAATGAACTGTATATATAAATAACTGCTCAGTCCTTTACAAGCCTGTAGATATGATGCTGTGCTCCATGTTCACTGTTTGACACTTCAAATACACAAGCCATGCAGAGTAGGGTTTCTTGTGTATCCCTGTTCGTTACAACCTATTTGAGAGGAAGGAAGAGGTAGACAATACATTACAAACTTGAAAATGCCAGAGCCAAAAGAAGAAACAAGTGGTTAAATTTAGGCAATGTTTAAATGTCACTGTTTGAAATGTCCTCTCTCTCTTCAGCTGACCTCTGTGACTGCACTCACACAGCAGAAGCTCCCAACACAGGGTCATGGAGATTCGTCGCACCCTGGCTTCTTGACTGTGAGCCATTGGCTTGTTGTTTCTCAACTCACACCAACTTCAGTCCCAACTCAACAAGGAGAGTGCACCCTTGTCCCCTGGCGTTTGGTTACCAAAAGGCAGCTGAGCTGAGCACACTCCCCTCTCACACACTGCACGGCTCTGAATTTGCTGCCCTGCCTCTTCCCCGCTGCTATCAGCCATCAGTCCTGCCTGAATCCTATGGTGGCAGCAGCATTGCATGGACCTAAATGCAATATGAACGCATTAAAAATGACTCTGCAAAGCCACACTGAAAAAGCAGGGAAGCTGGATGACACTGGCTTAAAGGCTAATACACAGACCATTCTTCATACTTTAGATCACCTGTTGGGTGTATCCTCACCATTACTGCATGCTTTCCTGGCCCAAGAACTAATGAACACCACTGACATTTGCAGTATTATAACTGCCATCTCAGTGAGAACACATTATGTGAATGGGATGGTTTCAAGTTACTGCCTCAGGCTCTCTACAAAACCAAACAGAGACTTGAATTAAAAATAAGAGCAGTAAGCCGAATATCTGGAAAATAACAGAGATGTTTGTTCATGTTTTCAGCCAGCTTATCCTTCTCATCCTTTGCGTCTATAGTGCACGATTCCAAGGGTATTATCCTGAAGTCAATGAGATTTTTTGTTTAGTAAGCAACATGACTAAGGGATTCGGAAACTAGTTCTGAATACTGCACGTTAAGCAAGCCGTACAATGCCTGAGACTATTCTACAGATGAAAAATAAAGAGTGAATCCATACCAATAAAATCGTAAAATTTTCCAACACGCTGTTCATCATGTATTTCTCTGGTAGATGCTTCAGCTTGTGTATGAAGTTGATCATATATTCACACATTGGAGAGCGATTTATTCTGTACACAAATCGACCATTCTCAAACCTTGCATATTCAGTCTAAAAAAAAAGTGTTTAGAAAGATCAGAACCATGAATACTACGTTTGTGTTTTGTTTATTTGTCTATACAGAGGAAAGAGAAAGTGGGTTTAGCCACACAAACACCCACACTCCCACCTGTGCTATACAGTGCCTTGCTAAGAATTCAAAGACTAATTATTACAAGTTGCATCACAATTTGTTCTCCAACCTGTGAATTAAAACCTGGGAAGAAGATTTACCCAAATCCATTAAAAATGAATTAAGTGGAAAAGTTATGATGAGATAGTTATGATTGATTTTACAGCAGTTTTTGAGACAAGCAGCTGTGAAGAGCAGAATTATGCTTACATATTTACGTATAAATATATACATGTAAACATAGCTATATATTACTGCCTGATTTAATAGGCAACTTGTAAATTACACAGAGATGCAAGGCTGCACTCAGAAGAAAACCAGACTGATTTATATTGCAGTGGCTCACAGGCTGGAGGAGGTGCCTGTGGTTCCTGCACTCCTGCTGCTGATCATTGTTCATATGATCTCCTCACTCATTTGTGGGATTTCTTGGTTTCCTCTAAGCACTGAGTAATGGAAACGATGGAAAACTTTTTATGGCCACCATGCACAGGAACCATATATGCAAGGGCTGCTCTGAAAGTAATGCCTTCTATTTATTATATTGGTCCACAACAGATATTGTTGGGATGGTGACAGAGGTGGAACTGTGCTGCAAATCCATTACATGTTGTTGCCATGTGACAAGTGGCAGCAGAGGGGCACTGTGACAGAATGGTGTCTGACATGGAGGTGCGCATGAAGCAAAGGGACATCACTGAATTCCTCCATGTGGAAAAAATGGCACCCACTGACATTCATCAACACTTGCTGATCATTTACAGAGATCAAACAGTGGATGCTGGCATAGCGAGGTGGTAGGAGGTAGCAGGGGTAACAACAGTGTGAAAGACAAGTCACATTCTGGACAGCCGTGCAGAGTGTTATGAGCACAGCATGCAGGCTCTTGTTCACCACTGATGAAAATGCACAACTAGTGGTGGTGACTGTGCTGAAAAACAGTGTTTTGCAGCTGAGAATTTGGTTGATCAAACAGTCAAATTAGCGTTCTATCTGCTGTGTTTATCATAGAAATAATTAGGAGGCATTACTTTCGGAGCAACTTAACCAGAGACCAACACAGCTACCAAATGCTCAACCTGCAGCTGTAAGCTAATTAACTGCACATACAAAAATTATTTTGCGTGCAACAGATGTGGGTGCGGGGCTCAGTACAGAGAAGACAGGTTAAGTAGATATAGTATCATTCCTCAGTAAACCAAGTATCTACCTGGCCACCCCATACCGTTTGGGGGTTTAGAAAAATAGGTAAAGGCCTTTGCATGTTAGAAAATATTCATCTTTCCATTTAAAAGCTACTGGTGACCATGGAAATTATGCTGTTCTGTGTGTAAGATAACTGTAGGTAGGAAGAAACACAGACCACCATACTCTGTCACTGCAATACTGTTCAAACAGGCCACGTGGTTGGATGAGTATTTAGAAATGGGGGCAAAAAGCATTTTTCCTTCAAGACTTTTCTGGTGTGACAGAGAAGGTTGCACTGATGTCAGCTGCAGGCTGAAGGCTGCCACAGGCAGGATGGAGATAGATTCCAAGCAATAGGTAACTAGAATTTTATATACTGTAGTGTCACCGGACACGCAGTGATTTCCAACAGACCAAACATTCCTGGGAAGGAAAATACTCGTTCAGGAAGGGTTACAGGAAGGCACAAATAGCATAAGAAAGAACCAAAAGGAACCGGAGACTCATGGCAGCCCATCCCAATACTCACCTCTACTTTTTCTACTACTTGCTTTCCGAAGGAGCAGACTTTGGTGGAACAGGTGATTGTCATGTTTTCTGAGCTCTCGTACTGACTGGTGACTCCATAAAATGCTCCTGTATCATCTTGAATGTTGCAGTTTAAGTCAGCCTGTTGGCAAAAAGCAACAGATGTTGAAGATGTCATTTTTCATTTGACAACGTCAGAAGCATAAACTGTCATTAGCTCACTGTGCTTGTTTTCAGAAACAGGGGAGGGAAAAGGGAGTTTGATAGTGACAACAACGGCAGTGGACAACCTCAAAGAAAGCACCTGCATAAATCATTGAAGTAGAAACCTTGGGGAAGCAACAATCTCTTCAACCTTCTTTAAACAACAAAAGAGAAGACTGTATTTCTCTTAGCTACAGGTGACCTTTCTTGTCTGGAAGAGAGGAAGTCCTTTTCCTTTCTTAAAACAATTAAATCACTGCTACAAAGGAAGATGGCTGTGCAACTTGGGAATCGATCTCTAATAAACTCTGTCGAGCTATATGGCCCCAATTCAGCGAGCTGTTTAACTTCACTGAGCTGTATGACGCAGTTCACAGGCTTCACGTTACCTGTGTGCTTACTGAGCCGTGCCTACTGGACCAATAAAACAGTACTGAAAGTATTTGATTTCTTTCAGTATTCTGCTGCAGCCTGAATAACGACCCAGCTGCCTTTCACATCTAGCACCAGAGGCTGAGACGTGCAGGATCAAGTGAGGAACGGTGCTACCTTTAATTATTTATGTCCGAGTCTTGTGCACAGCACGATTCATTTGTTTACAAAGCAAGTGCACAGGTCACATGCTGAATCCCGCCTCCCCAGGCTGCAACAGAACTGAAGCTTTTCTGCCACTGTGCTCTTTGTCATTATGAACCCCTTTTTCACAAAGCCCTCGACTTGAAAGAGCACTGATATGGACATAGGCAGAGACCAGAGCTATCCACAGCTGGATTTGTTGATTCAGGTATTAGCGCTGCTGATATCTTTGGTGCCTGAGGAGACAGTGGGCAGGGTTTTCTTTTTATGTGTAAACAGCCCATCAGCTACTGTGGCATAACATTTAGAAAATCATATGAGCTTACAGCTACCCTGAGACAAGCATTTGATCATGGAAATACACTTTTGCAGCAGTTTCACTTACAATTCTCGCCTGACTTGTTCTTACTGCTTTTTATGGCTAACACAGAAGGAACACAAAAGTTTTGAAAAATATCTTCTTGTCTACCTGGAGACTTTTTAAAACTGTGTTTATTTATTAGCTATCGTGGAACATCTATAATTCTGCCTTTGCTGTATTTCAGGTCGTTTGTAATTGCTCTTTAATGTTTGACTCGGCAACAGCTCATTAATTCTACTTAGTGTCTACAATCCATATTTGTGGTACAACCTTCTGAGGCAATATGTTGATAATAGCAATACTGAGCTAGTTTGTGGTATGGAGAAGACGTGGGTCTAATATTATTTCAGGCTAGTTTTGGTAAATTAATCAGTGGAGAAGTCTCTGGAGATTTACACGCTGCAACACAAAGAGCCTTACAGTCACGTCTTTTGCATAACAGAAAGAAATCCTGTCAGTATTACACCTTGTTTCTTGCACACAGTATTGCACGAGGTCAGCAGTGAGCATTTAATGTACAGCTAAAGCAGTATTCACAGTGCTCTGCCATAAACTGTTCCAAGCTAATGGTAAATAAGCAATTTGTCATCGCAGCTGGTTTGCAGTTACATCTAAATATGAAAAACTTTAGCAGCCATCAGCCCCTCACAGCTGCTCTGCTGGAATTTCTGAAGAATAAGTATTTCTGATCAAACAATTACACTGTTCTGAACTATTCGTTTTCTTAAAAAGTGTTCTGTTGCTCCTGCAATCACAGTTCTACTACACAAGGATCTTTCTTTCAAGTATTAGAAATATACTTAGAAACTGTATACAAAATGCTCCTCACAATTTCACGCTGTCAGAAGGATCGAATGCATATACCTCACACTGCAAGCTGCCATAACAACTACTAACAGGGACGACAACATGACTTTTCTTCTCTTTCTTTCTTATTTTGAAGCCCACTGAAAAAAATACACTTGACATTTAACCTGGAAAGCAACACATGGCCATCTGGCACACTGTTGATCACTCCCACAGCGCTTCCAGCTCTGGCTGAAATCACCAGGAGTCCTATACACACCAAAAATAGACACTGAGGCTCTGAAGCTTGAATGAACAACACTTGAAATGATCACTCAGCTGTTGTGATTTACTCTTGCACAACCACAACACTGTCGCAAAAAAAAACAACCTTACAGTTCTAAAACAGACATAAATTATCTGTATTTGCTCCTTGATTAGGGAGTCCAGCATGCAAAGGAAATGTTTTCAATGGAAAGATGACTCTTCCTTTTAAACAACAGTTTTAATGTTTAAGTAGCTACCAACTGCTGAGCACCGAAGCTTTAAGACTCCTTCAGAAAGTGTAACACCAACATAAAAACATTTAAGAGCATTTTACCAGCAAATAGCCCTGAATGAAAACCTTTTCATGACAGAATAACCTTCTCTAGTCTCACCTACTAAAGACATCTTGCCCTTCAACACGGGTTCCAATGTTTTTACTAGAGGATGAGTACAGGAGCATAGGAAGGAGCAGGTATCTATGTGAAGAGGGGATTGTCATTTCAAGGAAGTCGTCTTAGTCAGCATGGAAAATAAATCAAATTCCAGACAATCTTTTTTATCTCTGTTACCTTTTTTTCCTTCAAGAGAAGGAAAGATCACCACTGATAAAATACAAAGCTTTTAAATTGTAAGAAATATTGGCAAAAGATTTGTTAAATATATTGGTATGGCTTCCATAGAAAGTGTTCCATTTAATCACACCACTGACAAGTGAAGATGTAATCCCTCAAATTAAAGCAAACAGGTCACCGTTAAAATTTTGAGGATCTTTTTCCCCAAAGTTATAGTGATGATACCCCTCCCCCAAAAAAACCAAGACCTGCTGTGGCTATGAGAGTTGCAGATGTCGTTTTGAGTGGGGGAACAGCCACGTGCTACCTATGTATTCAGTTTTAGCAGGCTCCTTGCTAAAATACTGACTCCAGTTTCTGTGTCCACATTTTAGAAAGGATGTAGGAAAATTGGAAAAGGTTCAGAAAAGAGTTACAAGAATGATTTCAGGTCTGGAAAACATCCTTTGTAGTGAATGACTAATGAAACTCCATCTACTTAGTTTTTCCAAGAGACGTTTTTCCACGACTTTGTCATAGTCTACAAGTTGCTACACGGGGAAGAGTTTTCTGACAGATTAAATCTTGCACGAAAGGACATTAAAAGACAAAAAGCTACACAAAAGCTAAATGAAAAACAAGGCAGATGCCAATATCTCCGATGGCAGTAAAATGCTGGAATCTTTATGAAATATGGTATACTCACCATTTGTTAGGAATTTTTTAAGCAGCCCATCTACCTAACATGGATGCATAGCCCAAGTTGGCCTGTTGTTTGGACATGGAGATTACTTAGGTTCATTGCCTGTCTTACATACAGGAGAGGCAAGACTAGATGAACATAATAATTCCAAAACTGACATCTTTGACTTTATGTTATTAACCTCAGTTAACCTTCTTATAATTTTTTTCTTCAATGTGAAAAACTTGACAACAGTCAAGCTGGAGTACTGTACCTGCAGCCTCTCGTGAGAACCAGCTTTGTCTCCTCATTTCCTTGGTACTCTCCATCTTGGTTCACTTGCATTTTAAACGTAAGACTGCAAGGCTTCCTGGTCTGTAAACCATCTTTCCCTTCTGTGCAGCTTCTAGTGCAGCTATGACCCGATCCCTGGCTGCAGGGATTAGGGCTGGTGAGAGCTAGTGCAGCATATACAGATAAACAATGTTTAGAATGGAGGGATGATCACTTGTAATGGACAAGAGTTCAGTTACTCATTGAAAAATTCTCATTTAAATAATGATTTAAAATATAAGATCAATAGAATTTAGGAGAAAAAGAAAACCCAATGACTTAAAACCATAAATGCTGTTGGATTCTTGGTAGTTTTGTTTGTTTGTTTTTTAATGTGGCCATTTTTAAAAGTAAAGCTCATCTAGATTACTTCTAAAAGCTAAGCTCTATATTAGCTGAATGCATTGGGAGGCAAAAGTTCTCAGCTTTCTGGCACCTTTTTGATGTGGCTGCTTAAGAACATGATTAATTAATTAATACAACATAGCTTGTCAAAGGGCAGCACTGAAAATATTAAGTGCACTGAAAATATTAAGAGCATTAAGAGTAGTGAGTGTTTCACACGCTGCCTGGAGATGCCTCTGCCAGCATACCAGGGCAAGCACCAAAATAGTTAGCTGCAACCAAAATAAAGCGGAAAAATATTAGAAAACAACGGCAAAATACTTGCTATCCACCTCCCAGGTGCTCTCAGGCTGTGTTAAAGGCAGGGGCACAGAGTGCCTGCGCAGTAATAACAGCTTTGGCTAACAAAAAAGCAACTCTAGCAAAATTACAGAGTCTAAATTCTTTCTGCTGAGTAGAAGGAAAACAGCACCTATTGGAAACAGTGGGATCTGAGGAGGGCCAGAATAATTTACGCTGGCATTCAGTAGTTAACATTAAGCACAGAAGGTCATTTGTTAACGACATACAGGTTTGAACGGCTGCTGACTGCAGGGAGGTGTGTTACTCATATGACCGCATCGTGCCTCCCCTCCTCCTCTCCAAAGAGTGATCAAAGAGCAGAGATTCCAAATTGTGAAGCAATTTTTTCCAAGGGGAGCATCTGGGGCGCTGGCACGTTTCAGCATGTGTTACGCTGCAGCTCAGGAATTGCATCCAGGTCTGCCACATGGTTGGGCTCGTGATGGACAGACCAAGCTGCTCGGCTCCCCAGCTGCTCAGCCCTTCCACTCATTATCCAGGCTCAAGCGCTAATGTCCTCGCATCAATTGCTGAGGGGGTCCTCCACAAGCACCACGTGAGCTCCCTGCACCGATGGGGTTGTGATGCGGGAAAGAAAATGGATGTCTGCTTTCTTCCATATCTAATTTGTTTTGCATACATTTGCATGCTGGCCATAGTCCCGTTCACATTACAGCTCCCATTTGTGAGTGACA